ATCATGAAAACCCTAGTTGACTCGCCAAGTTTCTAGACAACTCATCGAGTCCATACATGTCCAAATGTTATAAAAACCCTAACTGACTCGTCGAGTTACCTTACTGACTCGCGGAGTCCATGTAGAAACCCACAACAACCAATCTTTATCCAAATCGTCGAGTTGACCATGCAACTCGTCGAGTCCCTTCAGTCCATTTCTCATTCAGACGTTTTTAAGCTACCCTAAAGCTCCAAATTGAATATCTGACCTCCTAGGGCATGGTTTCCATGTAAAGTTTCAAACTTTACATATATGCATGGTCCTAAATGCCAAACCAAGCTAAGGGAACGTTTTAACCCAAAGAGAAGGGTGCAAGCTTGCTAGATCTGATAACTTTATGGCTATAGGGACTTAGAGGAGTCCAAATCTAAAGTTGCAACTTCAGATCATGCCTAATACTTAAAATGATCTTCAACCCCCTAGAAAATGGCCCTAAGCATTTATATGAAGAGATCTAGCCAAAGATGAAGTAGAGTCAGATCCACAAGCTTCTCTTTACTCCAAGCTCCTTAGACTTCAAGCCTTCTTCACCAAACCACTTTCCAAGCTTCTTTACACACAAAAATGGAGAGTATTCGAAATTAGGGTTTTCTGAGCTCAAGAGGGATGGTAAGGGAGGCTAAGGGAGGCTAATGACCCTTTAAATAGGGTGCAAAACCTTGGAAATTAGTGTTTCATTGTCTAGATCCTATTCGTCGAGTTGGGGTCCTTCGAATCTTTGAGTAGACCCCTTAAATACATGCGGGTTGACTCATTTCTACACAAGGATTTGGGGCATCCAAATTGTCGAGTAGGTCTAAGAATATGACTAAAACTTTAAACTTTATACCTGGGTGTCACGATGTTATTGATCATGAAGCTCTTGGATGCAGGTGTAATCTATCCCATTTCTGATAGTAAGTGTGTAAGTCGCATGAAAGTTGTCCCAAAAAAAGCCGGAGTCTTAGTTGTCAAAAACTCAAAGAGGGATTTGGTACCTACCCGTGTGCAAAACGAGTGGAGAGTTTGTATAGATTATAGGAAGTTGAATGCTTCCACCCGCAAGGATCATTTGCCCTTACCATTCATCGATCAAATGCATGAAAGATTGGTTGGGAAATCCCATTATTTTTGCCTTGATGGTTTTTCGGGTTTTCACCAAATTCCGGTTACCTCAAAAGATCAAGAGAAAACCACATTTACATGTCCTTTTGGCACCTTTGTTTATCGACGCATGCATTTCGGTTTGTGTAATGCGCCCACAACTTTTCAAAGGTACATGGTGAGTATATTTTCAGAATATGTTGGAAATATTATAGAGGTTTTCATGGTCGATTTCACTGTTTATGGAAATTCTTTTGATGAATGTTTGCAAAATCTTACCAAAATCTCACAAAGGTGCATTGACACAAATCTAGTCTTTAATTATGAAAAATGTCATTTTATGGTTGACAAGGGCTTGATACTTGGACATGTGGTATCTCAAAAGGGACGAGAAGTAGACAAGGCCAAAATTGATGTCATTAAGGTCTTACCATACCCGAAAAATGTTTGGGAAGTGCTCTTTTCTTGGTCATGCAAGTTTTTATCAATGATTCATCAAAGACTTTTCCAAAATCATAGTGCCCATATGTCAACTTCTACAAAAAAAGGTAGATTTCGAGTTTAGTGATGCATGTAAAAGTGCATTTGATCGTTTGAAGGAATTATTAACATCCGCCCCCATCATTCAACTGCCAAATTGGGATCTTCCATTCGAGATCATGTGCGATGCTAGCAACTCTACGGTTGGGGGAGTTTTGGGACAAAAGGTGGTTTGAGCTCATCGTGTCCTTTACTATGCATCCAAGACCCTCGATAGTGCACAAAGCAACTACATCACTACAAAAAAGAGTTGATCGCTATTGTTTTTTCCGTAGAGAAGTTCCGAAAATACCTCCTTGGAACAAAAGTGATCATATATTTGGACTATGCAGCTATAGAGCATCTACTTACCAATAAAGATTCAAAGCCGAGGTTAATATGGTGGATGTTGCTTTCGTAAGAGTTCAATATAGAGATCAAGGATAAAAGCGGTAAAGAGAATTTGGTTAAGGATCATCTAAGTCATATAGTATCACCCGAAGACGCCACACCAATCCGTGACACATTTCTGGATGAGCATTTGTTCATTACCAAAGAATTCCCATGGTATGCAGACATTGTTAATTACTTGGTCACAAATTAATCCCCCCCCCCCCCCCCCCCCCGTGGAATCCACAAAAACAAGGAGGCAAAGAGGTATCTGTAGGATGAGTCGTACCTTTGGAAGTATTGTGCAGACCAAATGATCTGAAGGTGTGTTGAGAAAAATAAGGTACAATCCATACTTAACTTTCGACATTCTTATGCTTGTGGAGGTCATCTTGGACCCCAAAGGACAACCAGAAAAGTCTTAGATAGCGGATTTTGTTGGCATACCATTTTTCATGATTCTTATAGTTTGTGAAATATTCGATGTGTACGGTATAGACTTCATGGGACCATTTCCACCATCTTTTGGTTGTTCATATATTTTGTTGGCAGTGGACTATGTGTCCAAATCGGTGGAGGCAAAGGCCACCTATACTAATGATTCCAAAGTTGTTGTGGATTTCCTCAAAGCATTAATTATCTCTCGGTTTGGAACTCCAACAGATCTCATAAGCGATCGTAGGACTCATTTCTACAACCGAATGCTTGAAGCGTTTTGAAAAAGTATGAGTTGACTCATAAAGTCCCAACAGCTTATCACCCTTAAACCAATGGGCAACCAGAGGTCTCCAATAGGCAAACCAAAGGAATTTTGGAGAAAACAGTCAATCCAAACCATAAGGACTGGATCATAAGGTTAGATGATGCCTATTAGGCATACCAGACCGCTTTCAAGACTCCTATTGTATTGTCCCCACATCGGTTAGTGTTTGGGAAGCCATGCCATCTTTCGGTAGAGCTTGAGCACAAAGCATTTTGGGCCGTGAATAAATTCAACATGATTGAAGATGAATTGGGAAACAAAAGGAAATTAGACATTCAAGAGTTAGAGGAGATTAGAAATGATGTGTATAAGAATGAAATGATTTAGAAAGAGAAGACAAAGGCGTATCATGACAAAATGATCTCCCGGAAGACTTTTACAAAGGGTCAAAAAGTGCTTCTTTACCACTCGAGGTTAAATTTGATATCGGGGAGGTTAAGATAATGATGGGTTGGTCCTTTTGTGGTCACAAAAGTCTTTGACCATGGTGTGGTGGAAATCACAAGCCAACAAATTGGAAAAATATTCAAAGTCAATGGTCATAGATTGAAACCATTTTACAAGGGTGATAAGTTGATGACCTAGAAGTGGTTGAGAATTCCGCGTACCAACAACGAAGCATATTCAGGAGCCAATTCGAGCCAATGACTTAAAACAAGGGCGGCTAACCGGGAGGCAACCTGGGGATATTTTTGTATTTTTCTTCAAAACATTTCCGTTTATTTGAAATTTGTAGTGTTTTATGTTCTAAATGTGTTTCAAAATGCTTTCAAATACCAAATCGAATCTCGGGATGCAAAACCATTTCTTTTGGACGATTGCGATTTTTTGGGTTCAAAAATGAGAATTGGAAAATAGAGGTGAACACAGGTTGTGTTCTTTTTGGCCTGAAACTCAACACGGGTCGTGGTGGATTTTTTTTAATTAATCCCAAAAAACTCGTGAACACAGTCCATGTTCTTTTAGTGCAATATGACACAGGTCGTGTTCAGCCAAATCTCAACATTTTTCACCCAACATGGGCCGTGTTGATTTAGCCTAAAACAAAATGGGTCGTGTTCGTGCATCAAATTGTGGGATGTTTTCTTCTTAAAATCAAGATTTCACCTCATTTACCCACAAACACTTCCCAAAACAATTTATCTCCTCGAAGAAACCCCAAGGTCCGAATTTTCTTCAAAATCCCTTGATTCTTCACCAACTTTTTCTTAAATCTTCAAAAAGATTTGATTTTCATCTTCTACACCTCATCTCCTACATCACAAACACACACACACACACACACACACCGTTTTATTATATTTTCATGGTGGATTTCAGGGTTTTCACGAACCCTACGTCCAAAAATTACTAAGATTTTGGTTTTTTTGTGCTTTAATCTTCACTTAGGTAAGCTTGGGGAGGATGAAGAGGAACTTCTCGCCCACAACAACGCATTTCCACTAACGATTTGGTACAATCTTTCCAACTCTTCAATTTTGGATTTTGTGTTTTTAAAGTCAATTTGCATGCATTTGTTGCCATATTAGATTGGATAATCACTTGAAAATCATTCAAACCTAAGTTTCCTGTGAAATTTTGGTGGTCAAACTTGTGTTGACTGGACCCGTCAACAGTTGACTTTTTGACTCGTTGATCTGTTGAATTTTTACTGCCAAATTTTTATCATGGAAAGGATCAACCTAAACGACCTAGGCACACTAAATCATCAGCCCGTCATCGTATCTCCTCGTCACCTCCACCTCCACCTTCACCTAATCTGGAACATGGTGGTGTGGTTCGTCTTCACCCACTTCAAGTCACCAAACTCAAGGCCTTCCTTTGGCGCACAAATACTATCCAAAAATTTACGCATGTGCGATCCCCCCATGAGTTGCACATTTATCATCAATTCCACACCTTGTTCCAAAATATTGGATGGCAAGGGTTGCTGCAAGTCCATGAACTCGGCTAAAAAGTTCCAACAAACGAGTTCTCATCCTCCGTCTATTTGGACCATGGTGTCCTAAATTTCCGGCTCATGAACCATAATTATGCCATTTCCTTGAACCAAATCGATGCCATTTTTGGGGCCCAAACCGAAAACACCTTTGGCCCCAATGACTCAATTACAGGATACAATGATCTCATGTGGTGGACTCAACTTACCCATTAGCATCCTTCTGTCTCAAGCACGGCTAAGGCCTCATCACTCATCTATCTTATGATGAAGGTGGCTCATTGGATCATTGCTTCGCTAGTCATCCCTAGAAAAGAGCGAAGCACTATCAGCGTGCTTGTGCTAAAAATCCTTTATGCTATGGCCCACCGGATGAAAACCTCATACCTCATTACCGATTATTTCTTTGCAACAAATTCATCTGGCATTATAAGTTTGTTTGTCAAAAGTGCTCCAGTCCGGACCCCATATCCCGAAAACGACCAGCCACTGCCTGGTGATCCGTATCTCACCATGGTAGTGCTTGAGTCCATACAACTATTTCGATTGGCGGATAGCCATCATCATTGGACCGTGGGCCAAAATCACGACCCAAAGCTCCTGATCACGTCCGAGAACCGAAACACTCTTGCCCTCAAACGTCCTACAAACTTCATTTATTGGAAAATCACCCGTACCTTTTCCTCGTCTCCTATTCCAGTGAGGAATATGAGGAAGGTGAAAAAATTGAGGAGGATGGCGATGATGATTGTGGAGACTAGGAACCCCAAAATATTCCACCCATGGGTGGTTCCAGCTCATTCCATGATGCTGGTAACCCGTCATATCACCAACAATACATGAAGCAATGCCAATCAATTCACACCCGCCTTGACACCTACCATCATGACCTCACATTTCTAACCCAAAACTTTTCCACCTTCACTACCCAATATGCTTGGGATCAATAGCGCCAACACAAGCACAAGGAGGACTTTTGGACTTGGGCCCTAAACTCCAGGTACTATCCTCCTCCTCCTCAATAGGTTGTTCCACCCTCTCCAAGCATCGAGAATGATGCTTATATTTAAGGTTAGGGAGGGGTAGAGTTGTACATTAGGTTCAACTCCATGCATTTTCATGTTCATGCATTAAAAACTCAAAAGATTATAACTTTATTATTTTTCATTTTTTTCCTTACATTCTACATTTTAAAATTTGTAAAACCCAAAATTATTTTTCTTTCTGTTCCATTTTTAAAGTTTTTGCATCCCATTTTCATGCATTGCTTAATAAAAACGATATGAGGACAATCTTTACATTCGATAGCTCCACAAAGTGTGAAAACAAAAAATTAAAATGAAAAAAATTTGAAGCAACCGGATAGTTAGCAGAAGTGTAGAATCAACTGTCATAACTAGGGGACCAAAACACCGTACTTCGAGACTCAAACTTTAGATAATAAAAAAATAGCCTATTGAAACGTTTTGTGGGCAGTAATATAGCTTTGGGATTATTTGCTTCTGAATGTTTAAAAAGAATCTTTATCGACAACTCTGAACCCACAAAACATGGCCCTATTTGTTAACATACGTTACCCTCGCGGTAAACAGAGCTTAAGTATCAGATCCACACAGTAAAGAAAGAAGAAAGGGTACAACTTTATATATAGTACCCAAATAAAAAAAATTCAAGCGCTCAATCAAAGAGATTTCAAGAAATTCCAAAAATAGATTGAAGAATTCAAGCTCAAAACGAAGTTCTAAACCCAAGTTCAATCAAATCAGAAATTGTTTCATAATCAAATCTGGCGAGTGAAGAACTGTGTGATATGATACTTGTGGCTCTCAAAAAAGTGAAAGCATAGTGCTTGGGCTCCTATGGGGGTTTGCCCATGCTGCTTCGGCGAAAGCGGATTTGGTCATGTCGGGTTCTTAAGGATACGTCGATTCCGAATCTTGACCATCTAGTCTTAAGGACATGAGATCCTGGACTGTGTTATTTTTCTCACAAAGCTAATTAGAGTATAAAGTTTAAATAAAACTATGGTTAGATTATTGGGTTACACCGTTTCGTGGACTTCCTCACTTTGGGAGTTTGTGATACATGAAGGGTAGTAGGATGGTCACCTAGGTATTAGTGATTGGAGCCCTATTGATGTAACGTTTGATCGTATACATAAAAATAAATAAAAATAAAAATAAAATAAAATAAAATAAAAAATAGTAAATAAATTATTTGTGTTTTTGAGTTTTTCTTTGGTTCAATTTTTCTTAAGCTTGTTTTGTACAGGTATTTCTTTTTCATGTTTCACATTCCATGCATTCGTTCTTAGCCTTTAGGATCTTTCTATTCCCTTTTGCTCTGTGTTTCATTTTCTATCTAGAAATTGTCTTGTTTCGTCTGGTTCTTTTTCTTTCTTGAGGACAAGAAAGGTCTAATCTTGGGGAAATTTTTTAGGTGCATTTTGTGCACCTTTTTGTGCACCATTTAGTCCCTTTTATGCATCTATTTATCATAGTTGTCCTTCATTTTTCTTGCATTTCATCAAATTCATGTTAGTCTCTAGAACAACCTTATTTGCACGCTTTCATGATCTTTTCAGGTAAACCGGAGGTTGGAACGCGCTCTGGGAGGTGTCGGGGAGCATGGGTGAAGATTTCGGGACGATCGGACACAAAACGGAAAAGTTGAAAAAATCAAGATTGGAGTTGGAGACAGGAGCGTACATGGGTCGTGTTCAATTTGTACTGGAAAATGCACACGGGTCATGTTTCACCAAGAAGAGGCTATTGACTACGATGAACACAACCCGTGTTAGTTTATCCTATTCTGACACGGGTCGTGTTGGCACAGATGAGCATTTTTTTAGCGTTGTGCTTTGGAAGAAAACACGAGGATGGCTTGCCAATTTTCACTCAACACGACCCGTGTTGATTTACTTTATTTTGACAGGGGGAGTGTTCGTCCTTCAAACTAACTTTTGGAAGTTTTCCCTATCATTCATATTACAAGATTTGAGGCATTTTTAGACTTAGACTTCATTTCAGAGCATGGGAGAAGGGTAATTTTTGAATGTTTTTGCAAGGTTTCAATTGTAATCATTTGGAAACATTTGTTTTTGGATTTGTAAGTCGTGTATGTGGATTATTTCATCTTTTCTAAACAGGTTGCTTGTTCTAGTCATGTGTGGCTAGAACCCTGGTTTCTACGACCTTATGTTTTGACTTCTTAGTTGTGATTTCAATCATATGACTTGATGTTTGCTTTTAATTTCTATCTAGTGAACTTAATTTTGCTTTAATCGAATGTTTGATTCTAATTGTGATTCTTATTGGCCATTTGAATTAGGTTTAGGTCACTCAAGTTATCTAATTGCAAAATCGTAATTGTTTTGTGAATTGGACTAAGTAACAAGCACTAAACTGATTTCCATTGAATGAATTTAGTGTAAATCTTGCTCACACACTCCTACGCTCCAGAGCTTGTGAGGGGTATTGGATGTTGTTGGGAACATTCACATAAATTTTATTGTAATATTTCAATCTAATTCTAAGAGCTTGTTTTGTTTAGGGTTAATCAAAACAAAGAGCTTGTTTTGGTTAATTAATGTAGTGAATGGGAAGTGTTAGAGCTTGTTAACACTTTCAAGTACCGATGTAGATAGAATTGAGAAAATATTTAGTCATCTTTAAATTGCATTTCTAGTTGTCATACATAGAGTTAGAGTCCTTACAAATTTTGAATTTAATTCACTTATTTAGTCGATTACTTGTGTCTTTAATTATCTGTTCTAATCATTGCATTCAAAACCCTCCATTTTCTTGTGATCAGAGTACCTTACGCAAAGAGGTATAGATGTTAGCCCTGTGTCTCTGTGGATCGATCCTGCTTGCCATGTACTATCTTTTAGTTCAATTTAACAATGTTCTTTTGGAGTATTGTTTTACCCCTTTATTTGTTGGGTTTGGAAAATTAACACACGAAATTTTTGGTGCTTACTTCCTAAGCTTCTACAAGTCAAGGATAATTGTTATTTGCTATAATAACACTAAGGTATGTAATCCTAAACCTTTTCTTGTGTTTTTCAAAAATTACATAGGGAATAAGGAAACTGCCTATAATTACTATATGTATAAGACTAAGTCATTTGAACCGCTAGTACACCTCATTGATGAATCTAGTCTATAAGGGGGTACAAGGAAACTGCCTATAAAATGGTAGGTGAATAGGTGTGTACTCTCACCTACCACTTCCTTGATTATTGGAGGGTTATTATTCGAATGGGTTTGATAGGAAAATTAATTCTCATTAATAAATATATTGAATTAAAAGTAACTGAACCATTTTATAAATAATTTCAATCTTAGTTACTTTAGGAAAAATGTGAATTTATATGCTAACCCATGACATTTCACATTACACTTTATAAGTCGTTAGTGAAGCGTGTATGGTTAACCAACACACTAATATAGACTAATAAAGAGTTGTAATGAGTATCTCATAAATTATCATTTTTGATGGACTGTGTGTGGTTTACCAGCACGTCAATTGAGATGATAAATGACAATGAGGTTACGAAGCATCTTTGCATAGTTATTCACATCTTGTTTGTGATCATCAGTATCACAGTCACAAATAGAAGAGCATAATCTGAGATTAAACATGCCATTGAATAGTTTCAATGAAATTCAAAAGGTGTAGGAATTTCATCAAAACTTAATTTCCTTTTAAAATTTCATTTTTTATTTATGGAATTGGTAAATCATCATTTACTCACCTTTATAAAATTTACAATTAGATTAAGACATCCTTTTTCTAAGTTGTGAATTATATAGTTGGATCCTAGCCTTAATATTTCATTTTGGGTTGTTATATTAAGGATTATTCTTATCTAAATAAAACTACCTTCCTTTTATAGATGTCTACTCCAAATGATGCTTTTGGTTCCTCCTACTCCAATCAAAACTTATCATTATTGAACATCTTCTCAAATGTGACATTGGATGGAACCAATTACAATGACTGGATGCGCAACATCAAAATGGCCATTCGTTTTGAGGACAAGGAGAATGTCCTAGAGAAAGAACTAGCTGAGATAAATGAACAGAAGGCTACTCCTGAATAATTAGCTGCCTACAAGAGGCACTATAATGATGCCACAAAAGTTGCTTGCATCATGGTCGCCACAATGTCCCCTGAGTTGGAAAGATTCTAGGAGGATTAATGGTTGTATGAGATGAACAAGGACATTGTGGAGAAGTCCCACAAGCGATATCATCAAGAAAAATACAAGGTGGTAAAGTCCCTCATGGCGTGCATAATGAAAGAGGGAGAATCTATTTGTAGCTACGTACAGAGAATGCAACGTTACGTGGAGCGCCTTATTAGGCTTAATATGCATTTTGATGAGGAGTTGGCTATTGACATAGTCTTGAACTCCTTACCAAGTTTTTATGATTAGTTCATCTTGACCTATCATCTAAACAACAATGAAGCCACCTTGGCTCAAATGCATAACCTCCTGCAAACATCTAAAGCATGTATGAAAGGAAAGAATATTGCATCTACTCCTGCTAGTGCTACCGTCCTAGCCATTGGATAAGTATATGGTAAAAGGATGAAAGGTCTTCCCAATAAGAATTAGAAGGGAAAGTCTCATGCAGGGTCATCTAGTAGTGGGCCAAAAAAAATCCAGTTGTGATCAGCCACCCTCTTCTGATCCTAAAGAGGCTATCTGCTTTTACTGCAATGATAGGGGGCATTGGGAAGGAAGCTGCCCGAAGTATCTGCAATATATCAAAGATGGAAAGGTGAAGCCAACTTCTGGTGGTATATACATTATTTTATCTAATAACTCATCC